CCCACCAGCAAGGTAGAAGGACTCCTTCCCTCACCCCCAGCCGCGGCAGCCGTGCTGGCATTGGCTGTTATCTGACTTCTTGATGGTAGCCATTCTTTCTGAAGCAAGATGGAATCTCGTGTTGTTTTAATTTGCATTTCTCTGAAGGTCAGAAATGTTGGCATTTTGTATGTATCCATTGGTTGGTTGCACTTCTATGAAGTGTCTATTCATTTCAGTTGTCCATTTTTCTGATTGGGTCTTTTGTCTTGGGGGGGGGCTAAGTTTTTGAGATCGTTATATATTCTAGATGTTAGTCCTCTATCTGAGGAGCAGCTGGCAACATTTTTCTTTCTGCAGATTGTCTCTTTGGTCTGCTGGTTGTTTCCTTTGCAGTAAAAAAGCTTTTGGATTGGGTTTCATCTCACTTTTTGGTTCTTGGTGCTATATCTTGTGAAAGCAGGGTTCAGTTTAGAAAACTTTCCACACTTTAGGGCACTGCTCAGCTGTTTCCTGGGTGGTTTTCCACAGTGGGTGCTGACAGCCATTGTCGTTTTTGCTCCTCTGGGCATAAGTAGCCTTCCTGTAGGATGACTTCTGCTTATCTTCTTATCAGTGGCTTTATATCTCTTGATTATTATATGCCTGGACAACATTTTCTTTATGATTCTAGTGCTTGGGGCTCACTGAGCGTTTTGAACATGAATAGCTTTTACCAAACATGGGAAGATGTTGCCTGCTCCGCCTTTGTGTGTTTTCCGTCTCTCTTTCACTCCTGTGGTGTGATTCCATGTCCATGGGTGCTGGGCTCCCCATCAGCCCCACTCCAACTCTCTTTCACTGAGTTTCATTTATTTTAAAATATATTATTTTGGTTTATTGAGATAAGGTTTCACTATGAAGCCAAGGCTGGCCTCAGACTCACAGCCTCAATCCTCCCGCCTCAGCCTTCAGAGTGTTAGGATTGCAGTGTGCCCTAAGCCTGGTTTTGGTTCACTTTTTGTTAGTTTTTATGGCTCTAAGTTCACACATTTCTTTTTCTTTTTCTTTTTCTTTTTCTTTTTCTTTCTTTCTTTCTTTCTTTCTTTTTTTTTTTGTCTTGTTCTTGTTCTTCCCCTTCCCCTTGTTTCTTCTTCCTCTTCTTTCTTCCTCCTCTTCTACTTCCTCTTCCTCCTCTTTCTCTTTTTTCTTCCTCTTCCTCTTCCTTCTCCTTCTCCTTCTCCTTCTCCTTCTCCTTCTCCTTCTCCTTCTCCTTCTCCTTCTCCTTCTCCTTCTCCTTCTCCTTCTCCTTCTCCTTCTCCTTCTCCTTCTTCTCCTTCTCCTTCTCCTTCTCCTTCTCCTTCTTCTTCCAGATTCTTCTTCCAGATTCCTCGTCCAGATTCTTCTTCCTTCGTCTTCTGGTGCTGGGGATCAAACCCAAGGCTTTGCAGTGCAAGGTAAGAGCTCTACCACTGATGCACATGCCCAGCCCCTGATTTTTCTTCTATACCATCTGAACTGCCATTAGTTTGACCCTTAGTATTTTTCATCTCATAACAGAAGTTTTAATCTATAGGAATTCAGTTAGTTTTGCCTCTTAAGGAATATGCCAGCCACACCTGTATCTTGCCTAGCCTTTCCTCTGGAGCTGAGCACAGGCGAGAGATGACCCCTTTCTCAGCATCTTTCTCTCCTTAGTTGGTTCTAGGTAGGTGGTTTAACTCCTCTCCACAGGTCAGACTTTCCCCCTTCTTTTCTGAGAATTCTGATTGACCAGCATCCTGCATTTCATAGTGCTGAGCACTGGATGTTTTTGTATTCCTACAATCACTCTTGAGCACAATTGTTCTGGGACTCACTAAGCTTGTTGGGTGCAGTCTTATCTTTCTAATATTTTAAAAAATGTATTCTTGAGATCTGGGCATGGTGGCAAATGTCCATAGTCCCAGCTACTTGAGAGGCTGAGGCTTGGGAGGATCACAATTTTGTGAGACCCTGCCTCAAAATAAATTACATGGGCTGAAGATGTAGTTCAGTGAGAAGACCCTGGGTTCAAACCCCAGCGCCAAAACAGTAAAATGAAAAAAAAAAAAAAAAAAAAATTGCATTCTTGTGATTTATACCACGGTGTTTCCACTTCTGTTTTACTTTTCCTTCTTAGTGACAGCTCACCGTGCCCACGTGTGTGAGCCACAGAGTGACAGCTGGATGTGCAGGACAGGCGATGACCTAAGCAGGGAGATCGGCAACCTTATCTGGTTGCTTCCTGCCTGGAGCCTTGAGATTTACTCTCTCATGGTTTGTTTTGAAGCGTTGCTAGGTGGGATCTGCGCAGATTGTCTGACTTCTTCCCCTCGCGTTTGGGTAATGTTCCTCCTGACAGCTCTATCCAAATTCCCGGCCTTAGGTTTCCCTCTGGCTGTGCAATTGGTGGTGGTGGTGGGGGGGGGGGGGTGTCCTTCCACTCACGCGCAGTCGGGGCGCCTGAAAGTCTAGCGCGCCCCCTGCTGGACACTCTCGGCCTCTGCATAGCTCTGTCTTCTGGACTCTGCCTGGGTCCATCTGCCAGGGCTACCACTGCCCTCCCTCTGGAGGCGCCGGCTGCAGGCTGGGCAAGGGCAGGGCTTCCCTTGAGGCTTCCTATCCCCCAGAGCGCACTGCCCTTCACTGGAGGTCATGCCTAGAGATGCTGATTTCACCCACCTAAGGTCTCAGGGCATGCACCATGACCTCACTTATTAATCACTTGGCATACTCAGCACAGAGCACCGTGTCCCTTGTGAGCCCCAGGCAGGCCATTGGACACTTCCACCTCTGCCTGCCTGTGTGGCTGGTGCTGTGTGGGGCGGGACTGAGGGCTAGGCTGAACCAGCCTTAGGAAGAGTGGGAGGCTGAGATGGAGAGATGGGTGCAGTGAGAAGCATGTGTCTCAGCCACTTGTGAGTCTCACACAGATGACGCACAGGTCGCTGTCAGACAGGAGCAAGCAGGTGGGGGGAGAGTGCTCCCAGGTATCCTGGGAAACCTCTGTGGTGCAGCTTTTCTTCTGAGAGGAGAAACAAGCAGGCCTGACCCACTGCGGGGGTGGTCCACAAGGGCAGCAGGTGCAGGGCAGAGGGACAGCAGCTCGGCTTAACCCCAGCCATGGCCTCAGCCCTGGCCCCAGCCCTGGATGCCTGTGGAGCCCTCCCATAGCCTTGGGGAGTACACAGAGGGCGCCTGGAGGCCCAGGGCAGTTGTTTGTGACATGGAGGGACAGGTGTCCTTTCGGGCCACTGTGTGAGGGAGGGAGGGTGCTGGCTGCTTAGGGTCTGAACCATGAGCCCAGGGAAATGGGAGGGTGGCAATGTCTGCACTTTGCAAGCCACTGAGTATGGTGCAGGCGCAGGCAGGAATCCAGCTCTGAGGACATTGGGCTGAACTGCTGGGCTGGGCTAGGCACCTGGCTGACCAGGCTGCTGGCTGAGTTAAACCTGGGGAAGTGTGGCTTGGGCAGCAAAAGGTGGAAGACCAAGTCAAGACTGTGACAGCGACCACCGAGGGAGGGGTGCGCTCATTCTGAAGCCTCTGGGACAACAGGAAGTACGGAAGCTGAGGGAAGTAGCCTCCCGGGTCACCAGTGTGGCATGGCTGGATTCTGGGACTCCTTCTCATCCTCCACAGCACTGCCCTCAGATGTGTATCTAACTCAGAGAGACGCAATGAGCTGGGACTGCTGTGGGAAGGGGGCCACCAGTGCTGAGGACACAGACAAGGAAGGCGGCCTGGGCAGGATGGGCCCTGGGGTCCCCTGTGTGCATAAGCAGACAGGGACAGCTGGCCCCTGCCCAGGCTGCAGTTCTGGGATGCATGACGACACCAGTAAGCCAGGTTTCCTGCTCACCCCATGTGCCACAGGACCCGGTTGCTCCCATGTGTGGGACTGGCTTGAGCAAGACTCTCTTCATGTGTCCTCACTGCCCACAGCTGGGGTGCAGTGGGTCACGGGGGCCCATTCTGTGTTCCCCAAGCCAGCACTGGCTGATAGTGTCAGATGCAGACAGAAGCAGCAGCAGCCGCCACCTTCCTGCTGTGTGATGAGCAGCTCCGACTCTCAGAGGAGGACTTCGGGATGCAGATCTGTGAAGATGGGACAGCCAGGTATCCCCTAACTTGCAAAGGAACCCCCAAACTCCCAAGGAATGGGAGACAGTTTGATCAAGCAGTGACCACTCCACACCTCAGGCCGGGAAGGGCTCCTCTTTGGCCTCTTTTTGTGTCCAGTCCTCAATTGATCTAAGTAACACAGAAAAGAACACAGAAGGCTTGGTTGCCCTCTACGTGGTCCCCAGGAAAGCTCCACACCTCAGTGTCTCAGGGACCATTTCAGCTGATCCAGACCTTTCCCAGGAGTGAGACTGGGAGACCTGGGGCAGACTGCCACCAACAACAGGAACTGGAAGCATTCTTTGGCTCCAGGGGTAAGGGAAAAACACAAGGAGCCCCCTTCAACTTAAAGACTTATTACAGGACAAGGCTCACTGCAAAAACCACAGGATCAGTGTGCTTAAAGCAATAGGGAGGTCGCAAGGGGTATTTGTGAGGGCAATGTGTCTTTTGCTGCAATAAAAATTTCAATTTAAACCTTTGCTGTATTTTTAATCACCCTTTGTTAATCACATGCTTGTGGCAATTTCTGCCAAATGAAAGCTTATGTCTGTTCTCACCCACTCTATTCACCCAATGTGGCGCCTATGTGACTTCCGGCTCCTCCCAAAGTCAAAATGACCAGAAAAGGAAAATGGTATAAGTCCATTCAGGACATCACGGCAGCCAGGACAGTGCAGCTAAAGACACTCAGGAAAGAGGACTTCAGAGCTGCTGCAGGAAGTGGCAAGGACAGTGGGAGAAGTGTATGGGAAGTGAAGGGCAGGACTCTGAGGGGATTCGTGGCAATGTGTCTTTTACTGTAATAAGATTTCAAAATTTAAGACTTCACCAAATTCATCCATCATGACTCCAAGCGCACCATACCAAGGGGCAGGTTGAACATAGACTAGCAATTGAAAACCACAGGTCACAGCACCTTTTATTACCGTTATACAACCCATGTGACAGGAAGTACAGCTTGAACGCTGTTCAAGACCCCACAGGAAATCACAGACACTGCCCAAAGCCGGAAGCCAGGTGCTTCGGCCCCTGGGCATGGATCGGGGAGATGCAGAAGGTACATGGGCCCTGCCTCCAGCGGAGTCCCCAGAGCGGCTTTATACTGTCACGGAGGGAGTCTGGCACACAGCATTTCCCTGAGACAACACTCCATCCGCCAGAGCCAGCCCAGGGACCCTGAGTGCCCTGGCCTGCAGCTGTCCCCACGCTGCCTGCAGATGCCATAGTCACACACATGTGACCATGGCCCCACCATCCCCAGGTGGACAAAAACCTCGCAGTTTACCAATTTATAATAACCGAGGCGGCCTCACAGCACGCCCTGGCCACACAGCTAAATCTAATTCCCTCCTTTAGGAATCCATCCTTTCATCTTGGATCGAGCCTTGGACATGGACTTGGATGGTAGAGTGGCTGGGCCACCCTCTGTCCAGGCCTCTTCCATTAGGAGAGTGACCCTGGCCACCAGAGCACAGTGGACCATGTACAGAACCGCATACCACTGATGACTGAGGGCTGAGGAGTACCTTGTTCTTTGCTGTCCAGTTTCTTGTATGCAAACCATAGCACCTGCTGCAAGACAACCTAGCCTGCCTTGGAGGGAATCCCAGTAAGACCGTCCACATCCACAGGACCTTGGAGAACTCGGCTCCTGCAGTGTGCACATAAGCAGACAGGGATAGCACATGGGCCTCACAACCTAAATTAGGATCTCTGAAAGCACTGGATGCGGCCTTACTCTAGGCACAAAATGACTTCTTTAAAAAAAATAAAACCACCCCAGAAAGCCTGTTTCAGAGGAAAAAGGAAAAACAGACACATGCTAGCAAGATCTCTCAGCCAGGCCTATGCCTCCCAGCTTCCTCTCTAGGTCCTTTGCCTTAAAACTTTGGCAGATGCTAAAAGAAACCTTCACTGATTCTGCAAAAATATCCCGGAGCCCTGGGTCACCTGCTGATTCCATGGTTGCCTGGACTACTTAGGTCTGGAAAGTGGAGACAGTATGTTAGAAATCACCCCTAGCCTGAGCTGGTTTGTGAAAGTAGGATGTTGAAAGCAGCTCATTATATACATAAATAACATAAAAATAATTATAAATTAAAAAGTCAAATGGCCACGCACTGAGTTCCACAGGGATGGGAGATGGAGCGTGCAGTCACAGAGACGGGTCCCCACATGGCTTCTGCAGCCAAGGCCCCTGCATGGGAGCACGGACCCCCATGCTTTGGAAAGCATGTGCTACACACAGTTCCAGCCCCATCCTCAATAGCTTGTCATGTGGAGTGAAGTACGGAGAAAGTTACATTTGGCGCCATACCAACTCCCTCTCACTGCACCATCAGCTGGCTCACCCACTGCTCATTTTATTTTGAGACACAGTCTCATTATGTAGCCTAGGCTGGCCTTCAACTCACAGCAGTCGTCCTGCCTCAGCTTCCCCAGTGTGTGTACCGCTGCAAACACTCCCGTCTCTGTTGCCCATTCACTGACTTCTTCTGGGCCCCAGATAACAGAAGGCTGGGGACAAAGAGTGACCAAGGACAAATAAAGCAAGTGTTTCCTTACTTTTTGGATAGTGTGAAAGATGGACCAGGACAATCCAAACACACTTCCTTCTGCCTTGGTGTCCAGTGCTTCTGGCTATGGTCGCATGATACACACGTGCGTGTCCCTGCCATCCCCCCGCCCTCCGGAGGCATTTAGGGTTTCTGCTGCTGAGCTACCCTGGCCGCTTCCAGACTGCAGGAAACTGTTCTGTGCATTTCTAAAACTTTGCTTCTCCCCTGGCAAGAGCTGAACTTGTTGACACTCTTAAAGGAAGCTGGTCTTCAAACACATCCACCTTTGGAGATAGGGTCCACATGGAAAGAAAACGCACATTTCCTCCCTGTCCTTAGCTCGGGGCTGCAGCTGAGCTCCAGCCACAATAAATACACTCTGCAGCGGAGAACCTGAGACAGCTCTGCAGGGTCGGAGGGAGCACCAGGCTCAGCCTCAGCCGTGGCCCGGCCAACAGCTGCAGACTCCAGTGAGGCCCCGACCTACAGTGCAAACGACTCCATCACATTCATATCAAGTTAAACACACACACACTGGCCACAACAGGGGCTTGAGCACATGTTGAAATACAGTAAAAAAGAAAAGGAAAAAGCTACTAAACATCAGCTGATAAACACCCAAGATGCCTTTCACATCTGAGACGGTGGCTTCCTGGGGCCCCTGGCCCAGGCCAAGCCTGAAGGCCCCACTCACGCACTGTCACAGCGCATCTCACCCATGGCCCTGGCCTACAGGCATCAGACAAACCAGATCCAACTTACACTCTGGAAAAGAGGACCGAAGTCCCCTTAGTTTGTCTGTTGATGCTAAAAATCCCCAACGAGAACTGTCCACTGTGGTGCTGCCATGTGGACGCCACGTGGGTTTTAAAAAATAACTGAGCTCTAAAGAAAACAGAACAAGATACCTGGGTTCCTCCTGGCAGAGCACCCACCTCCTGCTTCTCTCCCTTCATCTGGCCCCCAGCTTAGCATCAGACACATGGCCCTGGGGGGCCAGCTGTGGCCCTGGACCGCTGCACCTTCTTGGTAATATGAACCAGGCATCAAGTTCCGAACTCCTGCCTGCCAGGGCGGCTACACCAGCTCCACTGAGCCGGTGTGAAGATGGCTCTGCAAAGCTGGTCGACCTTCCCTATGATGGAGTGTTTTGGTATTCAGCAAACAAGCCCGAGCGCCCCTGGGACCCTTGGGGCCATCGCAGCGGCTCAGTAGCTGTACATCTGCGGCTGCTCTGCTTGTGCCTGTGGTGGTGCAGGCTGCTGTGGGGGTGCCGGGGGCTGCGGTGGGGGTAGCACGTCCGTCTGGGGCACGGCCCGCCACGTGAGTGGGTGCTGCTCACCCAGCTGGTTCCCCAGGGGTGTGATAGAGTTAACCAGCGTGGTCAGGTTGATGAAATGGGCCACAGACTGTGGATTTGAGGCCTCAGGCTGGGGGTGGATCTGGACCTCACTGGGCCGGTTGTGCAACATGGCAGAGCCACTGACGGTGTCAAAGGTCACAGTTAGGATGGAGTTGTCCAGCTGGAGCTGGCGTTCAGGAGCAGTGAGGTGCCCCACAGCCACTGGCTGCAGGTTGGTAAACTGAGTCCCGGCCGCAGTAGTGATCGGTGTCATGGTGATGTTGGTCAGACCAACAGAGCTGGATGGAGCAGTCACATTGGGGTCCCCCAGAGTCACAACCACCTGGAAGAGACATGACAACACTGAATTGGTTCTGCTGGTGCTGCAGTGCACCTGGGCAGAGCAGGAGAAGTAAGCATCTGCCGGGGAAAGAGGAAACAGAGTCAACTCTGCCCTGGAAAAAACTAAGCTAGAAATAAGACTCCTGAAAAAAAAAAAAAAAGAAAGAAAAGAAATAAGACTCCTGGAAGCAGTGGCACAGAGTGGAGAATCGAACCAATCTCTTTGGCTAGAAAGACAAGAAAGCCATGCATGAGGAAGGTGGGAAGCAGATTCTCTGTTCTGCACCCTGCCCTGAGCTCTGGGCGGATGGGGAAGGGACACACTAACTCCATGGCTAGCCATCTCTGCCCACCAGAGCCAACACAGGAGCAGCACTCCAGCTCATGCCGGGTGACACAGGGCAGGTAAGCAAGGCCTTCTGCAGGCAACATCGCCATCTGCAAGGACAAGAAGCGCACAGCGCTCAACAGTCCGGGGAAAACTCAAGAGCCTGAAAACTGGAAGTGACAGGTTGAGCACAAAGTAGGATTCTGCTAATAGAAGTGGGCTTCGAGGGCGCATCCCAGGCTTCACCTGGCACCCTGCCTGCGGGTCCCTGCAGATAGACAGCTCTGACTGTCCCTAGCTGACCACAAATGCAAGGGCTGCCCTTCTGTAGTAAAGGGACATGCTTTGCAGGAAACTGCCTGAAAAGTCCCAAACTGCAAACAACTCCAATCCCCAGTGGGGAGATGTCCTCCATTCACATGCTAGGGTATCATGTTGCTATTAACAATAGCAATGTGGGACTTCCTGGCTGGAATGCAGTAAGGCTTATATGAAAATTGGAACCCAAGTGCTGATTTCTGCCATGCAGAGCATATACATCCACCAGGTGTGTAGCGTCTTACGTACAAGGACTCACACCTGCTGTGTACCTGCTCTCCCACCTGCTGTGTACCTGCTTTGCACAAACCTGCTGAATGCTCTGCACAGCAGAGGTGGTCTCGTCACCCACACTGCTCGTGAACTCTGGCTCCTTTTCCGAGTACTCGCTGAAGGTGGCATCCTCCGGCACAGGTGCACCAACATCCTCCTCGGGCTTCTGCTTCCGCTTGTGGCTGCGCTTGGCAGCTTTCAAGTGTTTCCCTTCTGCCAGCTCCTCCTGCTCCAGGCTCAGCTCAGGCTGCGGGGAGATTGGTTTCAGCCAGCAGCCAGCTCACCCAGCTGCATGTGGTGCTCAAACATCTTAAAAATCAGTTTGTTTTTTTTCTTTATTGGTGGTACTGGTGATTGAATCCAGAGCCTTCACACTGAACTACAGTCCTAATTTTTTCAAAATTTTGAGACAGGCTCTCACATCACTCATTGCTCAGGCTGGGCTTGATCCTGTGATTCTTCCTGCCTCAGCCTCCCAGAGCTCTGGCATAAAAACTAGTTTTTTAAAGCCACTGGGAAAAAGGAAATGTTTCTGTTCTGGGGAGCTCAGACCCAAGAAGATGCTTTCAAGTACAGGTTTTCTTTCTCCAAGGCTGAAACTAATTTATTTAGAAAACAATTTTGGATTTCAATTTTTTTTTATGCATTTGGTACAGGGTCTCACTATGCAGCTCAGGCTCCTAGTGTTCCTCCTGTTTTCAGCCTCCCCAGAGCTGGGATTACAGATGTGCACCACCATGACTGGGCAGGCTCAGTGCACCCAGGGGTGGGGCTGGCATGGCATGTGGTGCCAGGGATCCAACCCTGGTCCCTTTGCTTGCCTAAACAGGCGCTTAGTCTGCTGAGCTATCTTGCCAGGCCAGACTTCAATGGTTTGACCACAAAAACTATAGCGCTGTCTCTGAGACAGCAAAGTGGGGCCTCTGGAACACGTCCACCTACACTTTCTTCCAAGTGTCCAGCACAAGATGTGCATGGCCAAGTCCTCCAACCCAGGTGAGCATGGAGCTAGGCTTGTGGGGCTGCATGGAGGCCAGGGCAGGTGACACCAAGACCCCCTGTCTGTCACCCCATCATCTCCCACTCCCCGTGCCACCCTCACAGCTTGTCCTACCTGGGGATGTGGATGCGGGCTAGGGAGTGGTCAGGGTGAATGCCCTTCCCACCCCTGCAGAAAGCTTGGGGTTTCATGGCTGGGCCTGGACATCCACACTTCTGCTCCCGGGGCCCAGCCACCCTGGTAGCCATCAAGGGCTCCCTTCTCAATACACAGGTGCAAACTGATCTCTGATCCTGAGAGCAAAGCATGTACTCTTTGTAATAAAAAAAGATGCTTTGCAGAGGAGAAGGGGACTGAGGTAGGGTGGGAAGGAGGGGAAGATGGGGCAGGAGAATGAATGCCAGCTCCCCACAAGGAACCTGGTCATTCTGCACTGCAGGCCTGGGCTGATAAAAACCACAAATGTTATAAAGGCACTGGCTACCCAATGCTTTGTTTTTTTTTTATTTATTTATTTATTATTTGAGAGAGAGAGAGAGAGCGAGAGAGAGAGAGAGAGAGAGAGAGAGAGAGAGAGAGAGAGAGAGAGAGAGAGAGTGTGGCCCGCTCAGCCCACCAGGGGGCGGGGCCGGCATGTGGTGCTGGGGGATTGAACCGCGGTCCCTGATGC